ACAAAAGTACATTGAGATTTGCAGTGAGTGGTCAGTGCTTAGAACCAAAATTCTTGGGATATAGTAAGCTATTAGCTTTTTAATTAATTCATTTTTTAACTTTTTTTGAGACAGTCTCACTTCATTGCCCAGGATATAGTTAATGGCATCAGTCTAGCTCACAACAGCCTCAAACTACTGGGTTCAAATGATCCTCCTCCCTCAGCTTCATAAGTAGCTGGGCCGATAGGAGCCTACCACGACACTTGGCTAATTTTTTCTCTTTTTAGTAGGGATGGTATCTAGTTCTTGCTCACACTGGTCCTGAACTCCTGAGCTCATGCAATCCTCCCAACCTGGGCCTTGCAGAGTGCTAGGATTACAGGCAAGAGCCACCATGCCGGCTCCATGATAGCACAGTGGTTATGGCACCAACTACATATACTGAAGCTGGTGGGTGTGAACCTGGCCCTGGCCAGCTAAACAACAGTGATGACAACTACAACAAAAACATAGCCGGGCATTGTGGTGGATGCTTGTAGTCCCAGCTACTAGGGAGGCTGAGGCAAGAGAATCGCTTAAGCCCAAGAGTTTGAGGTTGCTGTGAGCTGTGATTCTATGTCACTCTACCCAGGGGGATAGCTTGAGGCTCCGTCTCAAAAAAAAAAAAAAAAAAGAAACAAGAAGAGCAGTAGTCATCATATTTTTGGTTAAGAGCACCCATATATAAGGGACATTATATTCAGAATGGCTTTGGTGGATCACAGCTGTAAACTCCAGTACTTTGGGGGACCAAGGTGGGGGAGGATCACTTAAGGCCAGGACTTCAGGAACAGCGTGGGTAACACAGAGACACCCTGTCTCTACCAAAAAAAAAGAAAAGCTGGGCATGGTAGTTCAGGCTTACAGTTCCAGCTACTGGGGAACTGGAGACAGGAGGGTCACCTGAGCCCAGGAGTTTGAGACTACAGTGAGCAAAGATTACATCACTGCATCCAGTGTAGGCAAAAGATCCAGACTCTGTCCCTTAAAAAAAAA